ACAGGTTCATTTCAGGCTGGGAATTGAGCACAAGGATATAGTGAGCTAACCTTAAACTCCAGTTCCATTTTGATTCTTACATCACATTGCTTAGAAAGAATAAATTACTCATCCTAGTCACAATACCATAATTTTATTACCGGAATTACTGTACAGCACTTTCATTCATATGCTGAAATCGTTATGATGTCATACAATTGAATTCATTACAAATCCCAAAGAAAAGGTATAAAAACATATCTTGGAAAAACCATTAACTATTGAAACCTCCAATGGTTAATTGCTACCAATCTCTTGAAAACAGTAAGTATAAATACAACAGTATAATGACTTGAAATTAACATCATTAGATGAATCATTGACAGAACGAATATGAAACTGGAAAAAACAATCACTGATTAATTACCGGAAATGAAGATCAAAAACAAGATTAAATCAAATATACATTTTATGATTTGTCTGGTTCTTCATCGACTGATTTGTCTCGTTCAAATGATTTCCCATTCGTTCTTTCATCACCCCTGATGCTATCGGTTGTTGCGACAGTAGGCTTGGCATTTTTCTCATCCTTTCCTTCCTTTTCATCGATTTTCTTCAATTCTGCTTCGATCAATTTCTCAAGCTCTGTCTTCCATCCCAATAATTCCGCTAGTTTCCAAGCCCCATCATCCGTTGTACCTTGCCAAAATACATCTCTAAAGAATGATTTGAAAGAGAAATATGTTGTAGTAGCTGAGAAAAATAAAAAAATTACGATTTAAATTGAAAATCTATAATAAAAACATATTTTGACTTGCTACCCCACCTTTGATCAGAATTTCTTCTTAAAAGAAATATCCACCCCACTGTTATCAAAGTCATTCTGTTCTATTACTACCACCAAAGCGAACCTATAGTTATTCTTATCGCGGTAGCATAAGCCAGAACTTCCGCCATAAGAGAACAGTGAGCTCATGTTGCGTCCAGCTTCTGTTAAATTGATCAATAATCGTGGCACATCATCGTTAACTTCATCAACTAATCCCGCGAAAGGATGTACGACGAGAGATGTTCCCATAATGATCAGAAGATCACATTTGGGAAAATCCTAGAAAGGACTCATTTACTAACTTTTTGGAAATCAACATGATGATTTGATTATTCAGCATGAATAATGATCAACTATTATTTCCGGCCTATTTTGAACGAAATTCGAAATCAAGTGGACATAAACTTTTACATGATTACGTCTAACTTGTCTATTTTATACTTTCTAAAAGATACTCTGATTGAGCAATTGAAAAATCGTTCAGGAAGATTTTCGCCAAAAAATACGATATCTGGTTTAACGACTCCATCACACTTATCACAATGTGCTACTTTGACATGTTCCGCGAATACTTTATCTAAAAAAATTTCGGAAATGAATTTTTCATTTAGTTCTGCCGCTTTCTTTTGAGGAAACATTTTAAAAGTCCGAGGTTATATCTCTTACAAACGAAACTCCTTCTGACAACACTGAATGCCCGGGATTATATTTCGGCATGAATATCCCTCAACCTCAAGTTCTATTTCTAATTTCAAATCCATCCGTTCACAGCACATCGTATGAAGTAATTTTCAAACATGCAATATTTACGCAAAAAAAAAAGAAAAGAAAAAGAAAAAACACTCACTCATTATCCAATCCAGGTCAAATTTTGCGTGACACGATAAACAAGTGCTTGTGTGATGGCATCCATGAGCTGTCACCAGCTTATCTTCACTGATACCAGTCACAAATTCCAAGGAATCAATATTCTGAAAGCACATATATTCTTTAATGTTTATTCAGCAGAAGAATGAAGTTAAGCAGGAAAAAAATGGAATAATTTCCTCTATTCTTTCTGAAAGACTAACTTCACCCCTCTGCTTAAAGATTTTTGTTTTAATTGACAACTTTTTATTTAGCTACAGTAGCTGTCCGCAAGAAAAAAAAAATTCTTGGAAGTGACCTGAAACGAAGATCACATTTCAAGCATCACAAGCAGACTAATTGCGCTTGTATGCTCGTTTGTGACAAAAACCGAAGGCAGAAAAAACATAATGAAGAACAAAGAAATGGTGATAAGTAAGCTATTTAATGGTTTTCGTTAAGTAATATGAAAAAAATCAAGATACAAATTTATTTAGGTAATGAATGCATAAGCATATAAGCACTGCACTTAATTGAATGTATAAATATAGAAGCATTAAAGGCAAAAAGCAATGCCTGATTTCAGGCAAGTAGCAATGTAACGTACCTGTGTATACCACCTCAGCAGCAAACCTTTTTCAGCCATCAAACGAATTAGATAATGACAAGGAGTAGGCTGAAAACACAGAAGTTACTTTAACATAGTAACCTTTCCTGAAACGGCCAATAACATTTCCTCATTACTGCGGTGAATAATATTTCCTCACTATAACGATTACAGATATTTCTTTGAACTAATCATTATAGAAGCTGAAATTTTAATTCTTCAATGTCTCTGGGAAGAACGAAAACTTCTAATTTCCTTCTGTTCTTTTAAATTTCCAAAAATCTCACCTTCAAATGTGACGGGAACAAATCTTTTGCTAATTTGTAGAATGGTTCAGGGTTTTTCTTGAAATAAGAAATATCAAAAACAGCCATTGGATCCGGTAAATTGTACTGTGATACATTATCATATAACCCAGTACCTGCATTTCATTAAAATTAAAATTGAAACGTGTATAATCATTAAATGCACTCTTTACTAAGTTACTGAAATATTGATTGCTCACTAAATTCTAGATTTATAAAACAAACATGAATAATAAAAAGCGAAATCCATCATAGCACAAAAAACTACAAAGCAGCATTCAGATAGATGGACATCTCTGATGAAGCGCTAAAATAATGACGATATGCATAGTGAGTCGTCAAAAAAAAGAAGATATTTCAGCTAACAAAACACAACAGCAGTGTATCCATAAAGTGAAGGAAAGAAATCAGACCTGGACTTCGAAAATCTGGAACACCAGCGGATGTGGATATACCCGCTCCTGTCAGAACAATTATATTTTTGACTTCATATTTAAGAATATATTCAGTAATACCCTCAATTGTCAACGACGATAACTTTTGCCTCGTATCTGAAAATATGTTTCCAACACTCTGACACCGATTACTATGTGATTTGGTGTCTAGGATTCATGATTATCACCCCATGCAGCCATATTCGATTCTAGGGAAGCAGGCATAATGATGAAAAAATTTCTGTACTGAAGATGCTAAAATACTTCAAATAAAAAAGGGAGAAAAACTGAACCTATCGAAATTTCCAAAATACAAATAATCGGAAAGAATCATAATGCACTTTTAATCATTGTTTACCTTCACTATATTTCGCTTAATTAATGAATTAAGAAACTTAAAGACATAATCATCCAATGAAAACAAATCCTCCAACCTCCCAATAAATTTATAAGTTCATAGTTGTCCTGTAATAATTTATTCACTATTCTGTCTAATCCCAAAGTTTCATGCAGCAAGTTTCATACAATGAATCAGCATATACACATATAATTTTAGGGATAAATTAGAATAAAGAATCTCCATAACACCACTTATTATCCTCTCCGTTTCATTTTGAACCATTTATACATTCTATCCAAAATGTTTCAACTTTAATTCGATTTTACTGAGTATCCTTTTCATTAATGCTTCAATTTCTCCTTTATCAGGTTAAACTCTTAGAATTAGTGAAAAAAATTGGGTTTACACAAGAAACTACGACCATCAGTTTCAAATCATACCTTTTTTCGTTTCCTTTGTCGTCAATTTTGTTAATTTCGATACCAAACTCACGAGCTCACTCGGACTGAGTAGATTTTTGTTATCCGCTGGCTTCGATGGTTCTATTGACGGTGAACTTTCACGCTTACTCTTCTCTTTTGAATAGCTAGTTTCTTGCTTTTCCGACATACTAGCATCTGCTTTACAGTTCTAAATAAATATTCAAAGTCTAGCAATATTGTTAATACTGTCATACCGATCCAATGAAATCCTATTCGCGCTTAACTCTGATTTAAAAATTCTCAAAGTTTAGGTAATTATTTCTCAGAATTCCTCACAACATAACCAGAATAATACTTAACATGCCAATATTAAGTCAAAAAAAAATTCATATAATATACCAGAATTCCTCTTAGCACTCAGAATCTTTCTCAAATATCCGACAGCTAAAAACTTTCTTCAGTATAGCGAGAACTTTTTGTAACACATCCAAGCTTTCTTTAAGAGCGTGTCTTTATCTATTTCATATCTTTCTCAACATTTCAAGAAACGTCGTTCTACGCGTCACAAACTGTAAACTATCCGAATAAGTATTTGCTTATTTTATAAAGTGATAATGCTACCTGTTTGGTTGATGAAAATAAGGAAAGTGAATGGAAAACCTTTCGAAAATTCAATAATCCAGCAGTGCAAATTCTGTAAGATTGCAGCTGTATTAATGGCAAAAGTAAATGATCAGATATGATAATACGATAATGAAAATGACGAGAAAAGCGATCAGTAAGCGATAAAACTGATGGAACTCTCGAAAAAAAATTCCAGATGACACTAAAATACTTGTTTTCGAAAAACTGAAATTCTAAAAATTTTGGCAAATAATGGTTTTATTTCTGGCAAATTTGTTATCGGAAACTTATGCTACTGTAACTAGATATCAATATCAATGCTCATTTGTCATTCATCAAATCCTCACGTTTTTTCATAGTATGTCAAATCGTAAGGACAACATTTAGGTAATATCATATTAGTCCGAGAATAACGAAAGAAAAACCGAAATCAGGAAGCAAATAATCTTAAGCACGAAACGTCGTTTCAGACAACTTATCCAAACATCCCAGATAAAGAACCGAAAAAAACGGAAACGAAAACGAAAAAGCTTACGGAAATCCTGATGAACTATTGCAAAAAGTTGCGCAACGTACGGTTGGCAGTTTAACAGTACGGTAGTACATTCAGGATAGTAGAGACACTAAAGGTGTCGAATGAAAGGTGCCTTTTCCTAAGGGGTATCTTTTCCATTACGCGTGTGCGCAAGTAAATTACTTTTTGTTTCAGAAGGAGTTTTTCCAGTTTCGGGTGATAAAAACTTATGAAAAACCATATATAAAAATTAACAATGAAGCGAAAAGACTCCGAACCTAGAACCACAATCGATAATTACTTGTAGTGATTAAAAACTGATTTCCATTAATACTAATGAATTCAATTCAAGAAACAAGAATGACACTGAGAATTCAATGCAAAGATGAAGATTAGCTAGAAAGGATTACGTTTAAGGGTGTACAAATAAGTTCGAGATTCAAGAACTTCTTTTCTTCCTCCTCTTTACTCTTTTGAAATTAAATGTTAAAACAACAGTTCCATCACTAACTACTTTTCCGCCTCATTTTATGGATGGGACAATAATTATATGTAAAACTAGATTTGAGATATGTAAATTTATTTCCAGAAAACTTTTGAAAGTTCCAAAGCATCTTCATCAAGAACAGCATGAATTAATCCTATAAAAGCTTTGCGTTGAGATTATGAGCAGTTTTGAATTGCATAATGGAGTCCTTTTCAAAACTTCTGATCGACATACAACCCTTTAGGTTTATCTCGAGAAGTGCTCCATCGGATAAATGCATAATACGATTTTCTAGCCATTCATTTACATAATTCGACAATTCAAGAGTTTAACTTCGAAACAACAATTACGAAAATGAATAGCATAAATCGCTATCTACTGCGAACAACATGGCAAATTTAAATTCGTTCTGGAGCACGGTTTTGAAATTTTAAAACTAAATCATCCACATAAGCTAATTCTAAATTTTTTCCCTGGAAAGAAAATTTGATATCGGCTCCAATATAAACGGTCAAATTTAACAACAAATATATTTTTACCTATTCATTTACTTCCTAAATTCAACATATCCCTTTAATCTGTCAAATCCGTTCATTTGCCAGGAATATGACAACGTGATAAAGGATTTAATCTCCTGAAAATGATTTTTTATTGCAACTGAGGAACAGAAACGCTGATGACGGTGAAAAAATAAGTAGAACAAACACACAATTCTAGTCTTTTTTTCAATTTTACAAAAAAATTTCAGACTATATTTTACTTTTTTTTCATTCAAGCTTGTGAAATTTTTTTCTGAAAATCCAAAGATCTTGGGCGTTTTGATATACATAATTTTCCTCTTCAGTGAAGAAATTTCTCAATTAAAAGGGAAAATTTTCAGACACTTTTATAAACTCAGTGTTTGCATGAGATCATACAGAACGGCACTCAAGATTTCTAATCAAACGACGTCAGCTTCTCGAAATAGGTTGCTTCTTGGGCATTTAGTAGTTTGGATCTGAAAAAAAAGAGCTCCACTAATATATGAAATCATACGTCTTGAAAAATTATTTTAAAGAAATTGCTATTAATAAAATTCAAGAATTACATACATTGAACCTTCCGGAAATGTGAAGCGCATACGACTCAATGCCATGGTAGACGAAGTCAGAAGCGGTACACATGTCTTGTTTTGCCATTCCTTATCCTAAAAAAAATAGTCTCCACGAAACAATGGAGTATTTCACAAACAGTAATTACTGGAATTCCCAGAATATTTCGGACTCTTTTAGTATATTATATTCAACAATATACATTTGAATTAAGATTTAAAGAAGAATTCAGTACAAAGCTAGTAGCATCTAGTCCTGTACTGAGTTCTCCGTTTAAATTCCAATTCACGTCCTCACAATCTCAGCCTTTCTCTAAAAAAGCTTGGACTGATGGTGTGAAAATGACAGCGAAGATGAGAAAAGACATGAGAGGAAACAAGCACTGAAACGACGTAAAGTTCCTGCTCACTTGATAACATGTAGCACACAAAGGAATAGAATACCAGGATGCTTAAAAACGCGAAAGAAAAAAATTCAGAAAACTATTACAAGGGAAAAAAAAATTCCCATATTACTACTCCCCCCATTATCCAAAAAAAAGAAAAAAAAGAATTATTCATGAAAAACACTAACCTTTTTAACGGAACGCATGTATCTTTCGAGATGACTGCAAAACTGAAGCAGTGTCGATATTATTTGATGTAAATCTTTCTGTACCACACCGAAACGATCCTCATTCAGTGATACGCAAATAAGTGCCGACACACCTGAGCAAAATGATATTGTCAAGTCACTTATTGTAATGCAAATTAGATGAAAACTTTACAGTTAATTATTACTATAGTTCAAAAAAGTTCAAAGTTCAAAAAATAGTTCAAAAAAGAACATGAAGCAAAGCATTTTCTCTCTTTCAGACAATATCACATTCAGAAAAAGTAAAAATTACAATTTTTTCCTAACATAAAATTTTATCCAGAAAAAAAAACAATGATAATCAACCGACTTGTTTAAAAATTAGCAGTGTGATTATCTTTAAAGGGGCTGGTGTTATTACCAAAACAGACACCGCTGAATGTCTACGTTAACTAGCTAAAACTACATATGATACTGCAAATTACCAAAAAAACTCCACCAGCCAACGATCTGATAAGGAAGGTATTATAGCTAGACATCACTAGTTTCGTTTTTTCGACTATGATTTCATACATTTCTGTCCTCCACTATTAAAACATAGAATGTGATGATTGGCTGTGACGACTGCAGAATTTTGGTATTCGAAATCTCAAGTCGTAATTTCTGATAAATTAACCGAAATAGTGTAGAAGTAATGATAAATCTTCCAACAAACTAACTTTCTATCGCGAGGATACCAACATAGACATCAAAGAATGAAACAATATGATGATCGATATGAATGAGAGACTTAAATTTATCCAGAAAGGATGGTAATTTATTCGCAAGACTACCATGCAAGGAATCTTTACTATCTTTTCGCAAATTCATAGGCATGGAACGTTGTCGAAGACCATCTGAAAAATGACATTTACAAAGTTAATAGCGAGAAAGTTTTTAATCAATAAATCATTAGCATTTGTTTTCCAGTCAACAGATCACTGATATTTGTAAAAATCTCAAATGCAAAATTATAAATATTATTTTAGTTGAAGAAGAATCTTCAAATGATTCCACGACCAATAATTTTTAAACAAAGTACATGCTCTAGTCTCCATCAATGGCCTAATCAGAGCACCAGTAAAAATAAATAGTTGGACCACTCGTAAATGTGCTTTAGGAGAGGACTGATATAAATAATTATGTATCACCACGAAGGTAATTGATCTAAGACTCCAAAATAATTTATTCCAACTGCTGTGATATTTTTTATTTGATTTTTAAAATAGCAAAAAATGAGACCAAATACCTTTTTGCCATGCCATTTGACCCAAAATAACTGGGCGATTACTGTCTGATGACGGCAATAAAGGGGCGGTCTAAATGGAAAATTCATTACTTGAATGATAGTTTCTTCTTCCTGTGAAATATTATAAAGAAATACAACAAAGGATTGTTAAACGGAAGATGGTCAATCCACAAATAACATCATTCAAGTGAGTATATGATCATAAAGGTATAGTAAAATCTTAGGCTAATTTTGCTCTTTGGCGCTACAAGTGTCATTCTGAATTATTGCAAGATAATAATAAGAAATAGTAGGTATGGTCAGGAAGTTGAAATAAAGGAATAAATAATCAACAAAGAAAGCTTACAACACTTGCGAATGTTTCGGATCGAATCCGGTCATTTTCATTTTCAAACTGTACACTTAAATATTGTATGTGTTGCAGGCATGAAAGTTTAATAGCATTCCAGTTGCGAGGATGACCGCCTGAAATCTTCAGAAAGTTTCGTTGTAAAAAAAAAGTTTGTAAAAAATTTTTCGTTGTATAAAAAACTAATTCAAAAAGTTTAGGAATCAATCCTTCTCATTACAGCGTGCAGAAATAAGTTTAAAGCCACATAGGTGAATCATTTTCTCTATTCTTCGAAAACTGTAACTTATGATTTTATTCCTAAATCGTCAGGAATTCTGTTAGTTCCAAATGGAACTGAATTTATTGTTGTCAAAAACAAAAATACCTGGCTGACTTAAGGAGAAAATTATTTGGCGACGACGGTGACACGCAGCACTTAATGATCGCAAATCCCAAAATGCAAAAGCCTAAAGGACAGGAAAATAAAAACTCAATAACTACCTCATTTGGATAAAAAAATTTTTTCCTTTGATAAGTTTAATGGAACCTTTATGATGCCATTAGAGTCAAGGGCATCCATCAGCGTCCTCTGCTCTTCTGGAGTCGGATTTAATACAGCGTGAGGTGGTGGCATGAGAAATTCATAACTCTAAAAAATGAAACAAGTATTAAACTGCGACTTTGTTCATAACAATGAGGTTCCTTCTATTGATTTAAAAAGCTTGACAAAAGTTTAGAAAACAGAAAAATTGCCAATGAACTACCTGAAGGACGAAAACTTTGATTAATCCTATAGCAATATGGTGCAGGAAGAAATGAGCCATTAAAAGTACCAATGCACTAAAGTATAGAGAGATGCCGAATAGATTTCGAAATAATGAAAAACCAAATAATGGTAAGCCTGAAAGTGTGACAGATTTTTAGTATCAAATGAATACATTTCAGCTTGCTTCCATGCCAAAAAAAAAACAAGCAGAAATGAAGTTTCGAATTTGAATAGGGTTAGTAATGCTTAGGATAACTACAGAAAATTGAGCGGCATTAACTGGATAACTAATTCAAATCAGTCTGAAATGAAATACCCAACATAAAGCAGACCAACATAATTAGCAAATAACATTATTAGAAAAAAAAAAAAGAATTACCACAAGCCACCACAAACAATGCAGTCCATTTTAAAATTTGAGAAAATTTTGTGTCCAGAATGCTTTTAGTTGCTGGTACCAAAACGAAATTAAACTGCATGTAGGGCCGTACCTAAAATTAATTGAAGTTGGAACTGTGAGCATTAATAATTTCCTGCTGAAACAAATATTTGAAGCAAAATATCTTTTAAACAGGAAATCGTGATGTTCACAATTTTATTTGAATACAAACTCTAAAAAGAACTTTAGTAGTCAAAGTCTAAACAAATAGTAAAAGCATAACCAACATGGAAAAAAAAAACAATGTGAAATGTACTCATTTCGTCAATCAGATTATTATCATTGCCTTTTGCTGCTCGTTCAGCTTTATGCATTCAATTTAATATCATTTTTATGCATAAATCATTAAAAAGAGTGTTTTTTTTTTCGTTAAGATAGCAAAACTAAGTTTGATATGCAAGCCAATAACTGCTCATGAAAAACAGAGGGATCATAACGAAATCATTCTTGTAAAAAAAAAAGTTACAGCTGGAGATGAAATAAAACTCCACGGGATACCATACGATAAACTTACTTCAATAACTGGAAATACTAATCGATGATTTCTGCGAAATACTTCATGAAAAGTGACTACAGCCTGTGCAACAACCAGCAAATAAATGAAGAATCTGAAGTGTTTTTTCGTGTGTCAGCGTTTTAAGATATCAAACCTTGCTAACCGATGAAATGAAATATGGATTTTCAAATATTATTTTACACAGAGTCATTTAGCTGATACCATCTGAATTTAATTTTTGAATAAAGAATTCAAAATCCATGTTACTGATACAAAGTGAAAATGGCACATGAAAACACCTTGTAATTTCAGGAGAAATCGAACCTAGTGACAAGCACACAATCTGTGAAAGGGCAGTATTCAACGATCCGAAGTAAATCAACCATGCTCGTAAGGATTTACAAGAAAGTCTGCAAAAATAAAAAAAAAAAGAAAAAAACTGAACCATTTGAACATACACAGTAACATTGTGATCTGTCTTTTTTTCACTTCATTTAGAATACTCAGTACAATGAAGTAACGCTTTCATAACGCAACTTCATTTCTCACTACCAAAAAGTTATAACAAAATTTGATGTCGTACATTCTCAAGCAGGGTGACAATTTTTCACCAAAAAACTTCTCAAAAGCTTCAAAATTCAAACAATTGAATAACCTTTCGTCGCTATCAAAACGTAATACGAAAAATGCGAACAAGGCAGAATGAACTGTACCAAAAATTGCAAAGAGTAATGAATACAAGACACTTCGAAACGAAAATAACAAGGATGAACAATCTGTAAATATTTTAATTCATTTTCTTTCAAGAGTATTAATCATCAATAAGGTGAGAACTGTTATACGATAATTGTCTAAGTGATGGAAGATTAAAAATAATAATAAGTAACATACAATACACACAGTAAAATATTTGCTAGAGAAGCTGACACTTTGGTGTGTTTAGCGCGGATAACGCCATAAGTATCAGCCATACTATGTGAACAATTAATCACTTATTGGTGGTATACCAATAAAAAACTTCAAGTTAGCACTCTAATGAAATACCAACAGACATTAAAAATTTTCGCAAAAACCGAATTTTTTAAAAGTCTAAATTCAGTTCGACTTCTCATTTAATAATCTCATTTAATAACAAATCCACTTATCCAGTTAACCAAAAGTAGTAATAAGAAAATTCCAAATATTTGAGATTTGGATGCCTAAACATTTCTGAAATAAACAAAGAAAAAAAATTTCAAAATTTTACGTCACCTAAAGCTGCCTGAATAGGATGTAACAAGGAAATCTGCAAAATGCATGCAGCAATGAAATACACTGGAATGCAATATAATCCAAGGCAAATAAGAGCTTTCAAAATCCGTATGAAAATCTGGAATTGAATTTTGAACTATTAAACAGCATAACATTGCAAATCTTGTCATGGATTATTACGATTTAATGATGCATGTGTAGTATTTACATCATAAATGCTGCAATATTAAGTACATCTAATATGATCCTAACAGTGGTCATCTATTTCTTACAAATTCCGCTAAAAATTTTTGGCATAGAAGTATGCAATCAGAAATTTTCCGACAAATTAGCAGATCTCAAAGTCACGAAAAAAAAGCACTAAGAAAACTGAGACATAATATGTTGGTAAAAACAAAATAATGACAATATACTTACGATATTCTGGAACCACTGTGATATGGATTCAGATGAGATCTGAGGTTTCTGATGTGATTGATCTGATTGTTCCAAATGGTAAGAACTTAAATGCTGTTGCTTTTGATTATCGGTTGTGGACGATAGCAAAGATGGTGATAATGGACCAAAATCGTCAAATCGTCCAGCCATTGATACCATCCCAATATCATCTAATACCTAAACACAAGTAATATATTTGGAAAAATAGCTCATGCCGAAAACAAAAGATAAAATTACAACCGTAAGCAAGAATGCTAGAGACTCGGAACTTTATTACGAGATAGCTTAGACCTTGAGATATAAGTAAAAGGAATAATGGATATTTGGGAGGCACACTTTGCTTAATTTTCCTGGTCTTCATTTCGAGACGTATGAAGTTTTCTGAACTATTCATAGTTACATTCAGGAAGGTTTGGAATATTGAATCCCAACAATGGGATGTCAAACATTTGAAGACATTGAGCGAAAAGATAGCAGCATTAATCGGTTACTGCGGGATTTCTTTTCCGATGTTTCTATATTCCTCTTCATTGCAAGTTATTAAATTTACCTCAAATCACTGCCAAGTAGCTTCAATGCCTGATAACTTGAAACCCGAATCATTATAAACGTAGGAAACCTTAGGTGCAATAGCATTCAAACTTGCAGTTTTTGAAGGGTTCACAGTTGAGTTTTCCTTACGCTGGTAAACAAAATTGATACTCTATCTATACTTGCTTAACAGCAAATGGGAACAAGTTGTTACAAACACACATAAATTGAAAAGTGTAATACAAAAAAAAAAAAAAATGCAAAAAATGCAATATCGCACATAAATTAAAAATGCAATACCTGCCACCAGCCTGAAAACCCTGATACTTCCAGTTATACCATTTATTCCAGTTTTACCATTTATAAGCTTGACAACAGTGACTTAACACTGGTCCAAGAGAAATGTATAAGATTTAAACAAGTTGAATACTTTCAGACGAAAAATGCAATTTTCCCAAAAAACAGATTTATGCAAATAAGTATAACATATTAATTGAAGTACAATATTTGCCAATATTCTTCGGATTCGAAATCTTTCCTGAGAAATGCTTAAGTCTATTGTTATTTTTAAAAGATATGACTAACAAAAGGTTAATTAATTTTGCAGGAATCATATAGAAGCTCTCGCATTTCCCATTTCATTATATGTAACTTTGAGGAAATCGATTATGTCCAAATAAACATATAATAACCTAAGCTATCAAAACCCACGAATCAACTTTCTCATCAGTCTTGTTAGTCCAACACAATCGGTTTTGGAAAAAATAAATGAACAAGAGAAAAGAAAAGGAAACCAACACAGAAACAAAACATAAAACGCATAAAAGAGACCAATGGATCACCCTCGGAATTGAGGCCGTGGCATTCCACCTGGACCACGTTGATTACCACGCGGGCCACCACGTCCCCGAAATGCAGTGCCACGCCCTAAAAGTGAATAGAGCAATGTAATAGTTTAAGGGGGAAGAAGTGAGGTGGGAAAGAAAAAAAAAAGATAAAAAACAAAAGATTATAATTCCTTTTATGTCTTGGTTAGAACACGTTCCTAAAATCGCCTGAAATGTCCTTATCTAGTTAAATAACTTCATTTCAAATGGTAAAAACTATCATAAATTGTTTACCTCGAAGACCGCGTCCATCACGATTATCCCCCATTCCCATACCAACAGCTCCTTTCTGAGCTCGTCCAATATTCTTGAACATTGGTGCGTTTTTCAACATATCCGGCAAAATCATAAACCGAATCTTTGACCCACGAATAAAAACGTTGTCCAAATGATGAGTCCTTCCATCCCGATAAGTCACCGTGACTTCGCTCATTTGACAATTCATGTTATCCTCTGCCTGAAATATAAAATAATAATATCCTGCAGGCAGGTTTTAAATTCCTTTAAATCATTTATCAGTTACAATTCCCTTAGGAGTGAAGTGAAATATATTTATTCGGGTCATTTCATGCGACTGATTTGTGGTGTTGAAACAGTAATTCAACCAATCCAGTTAAAGGTATCAAAAATTTATTTCTAAAAAATATAATGAAATCTACCTCATTCAATTTACCACGGTATACTTCGCCAATCGTTGTTTCAAGTGTAATAACATGACCTTCAGCCTCATGCAAAATTTTAATCGGGACACCAATCGCAGTCATTGTGAACCTGTCAAACTGAAAAGATAAGTTGAGTCACCGAGAATAAACGATGACAAAAATATTGTCAACGACCAAAACTTCAACAGTTCCATTAGCAGATAATTTGATTAGAATATCAAATTAAATATATAAAACGCAATACATATAACATGAACACAACTCTTCAAGTTACGGAAATATTTTATACGTATTTACTATAAATATTTTAAATAACGATGTCATACAAATGATGAGATCGCTAATGAAGTTTATAAATGCAATAAGAATTTAAAAATACGAGGAAGAAGTCAGTAATATCACTGGAATGTAAAAAGATTTCCGACGCCGAACTATGGTATTCCTAAAAACAATCATATGATTACCACCTCAAAAAAAAGGAAGAAAAACAAAAAAGTGCATTTTTCTTTTTTCATCGTTCTTTTTAAACTATGAAATAAATTTCAACCCTTAGAAGTGAGAAAAAACAATTACTATAATATGCAAATGCAGATAACTGTTACATAAACAAATATGTACATATGTTACTTGCTTGTGTTATTTTACTGGAAGTACCAGGAGCAAAGCGAAATAATCCAATCAGCGGATCTTTTGGGCGACAAATGCATTAGATAATTGTATTCAAAAAAGATACATCAGTTCAAAGACAAATCCATAACGCAGCACATCCACAGATAAGCCAAAAAGACACATATCCAAAGCAATTCTAACTCATGATCACAGACTCACTGTTCCTTTCATAATATAAATTCAGCTAACAAAAACAAAACCAGATTTTGTAGGAAATTTGACGTCAATAAATACAGAACCACAAGTAAATGATGGAAACAGCAAAGTATTTAAAAATCAACTACAACTGGGAGATATGAGTTCGCGGGCAAATCTGTTCCATTTTGCTAATGCAGATCATGAGTAAATTATTTAAAGTAGATCCTGAATTCCAGCAAAGATGCAAATGCATTACATCTATATTTGCAACTTTATAAACAATATAAAACCTCGATAAACCTAACTAGTAAAATATGCTCTTTTATTATAAAGTTTTACAGAGCTTCCAAGCTAGTCAAAAAAAAGCTAGTAAATGGAAATATAAGGATCTAGAAATGTTCAGGAATCTCGCTGGTACGGATTCGCCCAATCAGCTGTTTCATTCCCTGCACAACGTTTCGCGTCTGTGGTGTTAATTCTTCATCTCTTGCATGAAGCAGCTGAAAAACAATATGCAAACCAGAAAACACTTAACTAGGGCTATTAAAATAATAAATCCTTAAAATTTCTTAGAAGACTTAACTCTCAAAGAGTACCAAAAAATTGGGATTTAAAATTATAACAAAAACCTCATTGACAAGGAAGACATTTTCATCACCCTCTGTTTCGTTTCCTGCAACTACTGGAGTGCCAGCAACTGAGAATGCCACTTCCTCTCGACGCAGAGTCCGAAACTTAATATCATCACTGGAAATTTAAATTCCTATTAAACTGATTTGAATTCAGATCTTTCCTTTTTTTAACAGTAAGAAAAAAAAAGCTTGGCTTCACGCGCAACTCTGTATGGAACGATGCATTATCGTGATTTCAAAAACGACATATTGCATTAAATTTAAAAAGATATTTCACTTATCATACCCATCTCGGATTTTTGGCGTTATAGCCCGAGGCAAGCGGACATTTCCAGTAGGCGTTTTCAATACAATGGATTTGGAATTTCTGGACCTAAACAATATCAATCAAATGATGAAGAAAAATAGAATGTTTTCAGAAAAAAGAACAAGTAATAAAAAACATATTAGGACACTTTGGTCTAAAGATTTTCAGAAATTAAACCCACGCTGGAGTCCTTATGTTTGATGATGAGTAAGATGGTTTGGGAACCAATTTTCGTGGCCCTCGAAGCCGATTTGCCCAAGTGTTTGGTTTCTGCTCCATTCTGGATCTGTTTCCAGTTTCCTGACTAACACCCGGCTCACCAACGAGCTCATCGAAAATTGCATCTAAAATAGTATTTGAGGGAAATTGTAAATATTATTTGGCAAAAATTTCCAACAAAAGTCAGATTCATTTAGCTAATGAAATATTAAATTCTGTCAATCTTTATGGAAAAAGCAATAAATTTGGTCATAAGAATAGGAAGGGAATTCGATGTATGAAAAATTACCAGTAGCTTCACATGTTGAAATGAATTTATACAGGCTGCTTTTGCGGAGTTCCTGAAAGCTGATGATAATAGTTCGCACTGACAGTTATATCATTTTTCCTTTCCACTGTTCAAAACTCATTATGCTCGATCCAGAAATCCTGTCACGTTGTGGAAATGATGATGGCTGCATGCTATCAAAGGGAGATAAAGCATTTTTCCCAAAAGTTACAGATTAGCCTACTAATAGTAACGTGCTGGACATCGTTATTCGTATATAAAGTATGCTCATCCTCATTTTTCCGACAAACTGAATTGTTAATATGATTTACATGGAAAACGAAAAAGACTGATGTTTTGAATTCAACAATAAACTCACTTCCGGCAGTTGATCAATTTCTTGGAAATATGCCTCAAGAACATCGTTCACATTAATAAGTCGCTGAATTTCCGCTAATTTTGCTTCACCTACAAGATAAACATTGATGAACCAAGTATTTTCGACATTTATAAAACTAACTGATTGAAATCAAATCTATGTGGACCATAAATTTTTCACACTTATTTATGTGGATAAGTCATAAAGCCAATTTTCACTCGACTAGTTTGTGTTAACCAATTTTACAAAGTGGATGAAATTCATTCGAACGAACCACTTGCTTATGTAATAGACAAATCAACGCTCACTAGGTTCAACTAATGACTGGCCCAGTTGTCTATCCAACCATTCATCAGACAGACAACTAGAACAATCAACCGTTAATCTCACTGTTTGATCAACGAACCCTGCTTGTCGAAATTCGTCTTCCATTCTTGAATCCGTTCGAATACCTCATCAGATTGCGCCATAATGGTAAAACTTTAACTGTATCCACAAATAAGATACAACCAAATGTTTTCAACGAGAATATCGTAAGCTAAAATTGAATCAGTTTTGAAATATGTTGTGAAATTGACATTTATAAAAGTGTAGACTTCGAAAAATATAGTACGTCTTTATTTCGCATTTTTTTTTTTTATATAGTTTACCCATACAACACGTAAGATCGCATATCAACTTCATGGGAATGTAATACAATTATGTGAAACTGACCTGCCACAATACAACGGAATTGGAGCATACACAAATTTATCAATCCTCATTTAATCAACGTAATATATACGTTGAGCAAACATAAGTTTGTCCATATATTTTATTGCTACACCACATAAGAAAAAGTCCGCAACAAAAAAATCTAATTTCTATTTCCATTTAGAAATTCCATCTTTTTGGATTTATTTATTCAAACTTTCTTATCAAGGAATGTTTCAAAATAATACCGTATACAAAAGTAACCGAAAGTGATGAGATCACAGAATGGCAAGTTTTGTGATCTGGATAAGTAAACCAGAACCGACGTGTTATCCAGAAGTTCATAACGATTTACAAACTTATGCAGTTCGAAGTCGGATTTTGCAGTAAGGGATTTTACAAAAATAAAATTTCACCTTCAGCAGCTTTTCCTTGCTAGCTGTTGATGATTCTATCAAATAATTCTATCTTTTTCCATACGATTAAAATCTGTGATGCTTACAACAAATCTCTCGTATATCCCGGGGAATCCCGCGATAAATCCCCTAGCCTCTTGAGAATTATAAATAATGCAACAGCTTTCAAAATTAATGAATTCGAATCCACAACGTACGCCCGAACATTCGTCCTCACTTGAACCTATACTTAAACTTCGGACAGACGGCATCATCCGTACGGTGTTAGCCATTATTCCGATTTTGGGCTAGGGAAGGAGGTAGCGTATAGGATACGGGGGTGGGGGTTTATTGGGTACGAGTAATAGTCATCCGGATCCCGGAAGAATCAGTAATCAGGTGTGATCCGGAATACGAAAGATACGTTTCGGATTGTAAGGGGAATAATGCATTCATATGTTGAAGACACCACTATTTTCGAAATGGAGTGAAATGATTGAGTAAGCTTGAGACTAAGTTAAAATCGTACTGTTATGGTCAAGATTAGAAAGTATTTATGGACTCGGTAATTCAGCTGTGATTTAGGAATTTTCTTTTACGACGCACTTTACAATGATACTTGTTTACATGTTTTTTTTTCTCCTTTTAGGATTCCCAAAAATGCCTCGGCAAATAACAGAAATCAAGGAATTCCTGATGACTGCTCGAAGGAAGGATGCGAAATCGGTAAAAATTAAGAAAAATTCGGATAATGTGAAATTTAAGGTGCGATGCAGCAAATATCTCTATACCCTTGTTATCCAGGTAACCAACCATCTTTCTGGTTTTGGCTATATGTATTCTTTTTTTGCTTCTTTTTTGCTTTTTTTTGCTTTTGAGCAATACTATATGAGAAAAAATATAAAAGATGTAAATCAAAAGTGCTTTTATGCAATTATTTCAAATCCAGTTTATTCTCTATTCTTGAATACTGGATGCATCTTTGGTTTGATGTTAATTCGACCTCTAAATATTCTACTCCTGATAGCTATACTTCTGTTCCGTTCTAAATCTCGGCAGTGAGCGGTTTGATTATGCTAGTATTGATTGTTTATAACTATTCTAAATCTCAGCAATGAGTGACTTGATTATGCTAGTACTGATTGTTCATATCCAATAAGGAACCAAACGGATACAAACAGGTTAATTGGTTTGAGGTTTAATTGCTCTCTTGCCTATGAACTTTTTCAAATTTATGAAAGCAGACAGCATTTCTGATGCATTTCATTTTTGATGCATTCATTCTCTATTTGAATGGGAAAATTTGTTCGGAATGTTTCGCACTAAGCAAGATTTCTGACACGGCACTTGATCTCGTCAAAGTAAATAATATGATTTAACAGTAGGTCAATTTCTTGATTCATATGAAAGGTAGTATCTGAAGAGAACTGGAATCCTATTTTCAGGATAAAGAAAAGGCTGAAAAATTGAAGCAATCATTGCCGCCAGGTCTTCAGGTGAAAGAGCTGAAATAATGGATATGATTCCGGTTACAATAACTTGCAGTGATTTCAGTTGCGGTGTGGTGTGTTAATTTTGAATGGTATATGGTTTACTGTGTAAGTCTGAATAAATATATCTTTGGAATCAGTTGTAGTTCACACATTAGAAGTGGCTCTGGTTTGTTCACAAATGAGTTATGTGCTATCATCGAGTATATTATTCCACTGATTATATGTAACTCATCCATATACGGTAAGAACGTTTTACGTTGCATGAAATAACCGTTCCATGGGTTGAATGAAATTTTATCAGTTAGGGCGTATTTGTCGTATATTATTTGACGCATCAAGATGATGGAAGACCAATTCTTTTTGTATAATAAACTATGTTGACTTTTCAGTAGGCTTTAACCTAAAGTAATGCTATGCATCAGGTATGTAGCTACCAAAGAAATGAGTCAATTTCCAGAGAAGTCTATCGTGAAAGTTTGAGATGAACGCGGAAATCCTGAAGTTAGACTTAATCGAGTCAAAAAAGCTCAAAAACATGTCTGATGTGTTGGGGTATTTTTCATCCATGGGCACTTAAGATTAGCTTGGCCGCATGGGCTGTGTCCAATTGCGCAATACCAATCATGATAAAAGAAAAGAAATGCAGTTACAGCAAGCAGCATAACATAAAATGATAGTGAAATAATTTCGAGACGTCGAATCACTCGTTGCCATCTACTTTGCAAATTGTCTTGTGGCACAAGGTTCATCATTTCTGCACTGCAATTTCGCAGATATAATTTCATTATTCACGTATTTGAATGAGTTCAATTGGTAGTTTTCTAAAAGGTGTCCTAATCTTTGTTATTTCCAAAATTTTTTTGGAGCCTTAAGATATGTATTATGGATTAATTTCTTTAAAATGTTTGAACTATCAAAAGATTTAAAAATATTAATTATAAATTATGTTGGCTATATTACATCGCCTCTGATAATTTTATTTGAATAAAAATTCAATAAGAAATGTTATACTTCTTAGCTGTAATGTGTTTGATGATCTCAGAGAAACGGAAAGTTTTTTTTTTCTCACTCATCGATTCGGAAAAAGACTCATCCATAGTTTAAATGATTAAATAAAAATTTACTTAAATATCTAATTATATAATTCAAACCATAATTCATAGTTTTTGATATTTTCAATGCTTTTTTTTTTCGATACTTTTCATCAAATATTTTCCAATAAAAATTAAATCAATTTCAGGTTTTTATCAATGTTTTCAAATAAAATTGAATGAACAAACCGTATTGCATTAACAGATGCTTCAATATTTCTTATCGTATCAATCAGATATTCCCATGACTGATTACATACATGTTCAACGTCATCATAGTTTGACATTAAATTGGGTGTAATGGCAAATCGTCCCCTGAGTATGGCTGGCGGAGAAAGTCTTGCTGAATCATTCTATAACCTCTAATTTGACATTTTATATTTTGGTCAATTAATTATATATGCTGTTACTATGGAATAAGCAAATGCTCGAACTAATACTTACAATTATTGTTATTGAAAGATTTATCATCTACTATATGATTCAAATAATGAATCTTATATATATATATATGTATATATATATATATGTATATATATATATATATATATATATATATATATATATATATATATAATA